CCTTTTTTTCCCCTTTTGGGGAAATCCCCCCCCCAAGGGCCTTTTTTGGAAAGTTTTTCCCAGGTTCTCCCCCCCAGGGAATTAAGCCCCCCCCCGGCCCCCTTGGGGGGGGTGGGGGGGCCCCCCGGCCCCCCCATATATTTTTTTGGGGGGGGGTTTCAAAAGGGTTTTCCCCCCCCCCTTTTTTTGGGTTTTCCCCGGGGGGAAAAAACCAATGGATTTCCCCGGGGGGGGAAAAAAAAATTTTCCCTTTCAAAAAAATTCCCCGGGGGTTTTGGGGGGAAAAAAAAAAAATGGGGGGGGTTTTTTTGAGGGGGGGGGAAAAATTTTTCCCTTATTTTTAAAAAAAAAGGTTTTTTGGGGGGGGGGGCCCCCCCCCCCCCTTCCCCGGGGCCCTTTCCTTGCCTTTTTCCCCCCCGCTTTCCGTAAGGGCCCCCCCCCTTTTTGCCCCCCGGGATTTTTGCCAATTACCAAGACCGTTGGGGGGGGGGCCCGTTTAAAAGTTGCTAACCCCCCCCTTAATTTGGGGGGGGCCCCTTTTTGCCCCCCCCCCCTCCCCCCTGGCCTTTTGTTGACCCCCCCCCCCCCCGGGCCCCCCCCCCCCCCCCCCTCCCCCTCCCCCGCCTCCCTCTTCGCAGGACCCGCGCGACGCTCGCAACGTCGCGCAGGACAGCGAGCCGAGGAAGCCGTAGGATCCTGGTCTCCCGACTAGCGCTCGAGAGGACGCGTCCCTCAGCTGTGCTCAGCCGCATCAGCTGTATGCACTCTCCTCGCACCCCTCGTCTTCACGCCTCTGACGTCGGCGTCTTCAGCACGTAGGACAGCAGCCCTAACCCTAACCCTAACCCTGACCCTAACCCTAACCCTAACCCTAACCCTAACCCTAACCCTTACCCTAACCCTAACCCCGCGGAACCGGTCGCTCACGTAGGACAGCGAGCCCGACGTGACGCTCCTAATTAACTCTTAATTAACTCTTAATTAGGACAGCGAGCCCGACGTGACGCTCCTAATTAACTCGTAATTAACTCTTAATTAGGACAGCGAGCCCGACGTGACGCTCCTAATTAACTCTTAATTCACTCTTAATTAGGACAGCGAGCCCGACGTGACGCTCCTAATTAACTCCTAATTCACTCTTAATTAGGACAGCGAGCCCGACGTGACGCTCCTAATTAACTCCTAATTAACTCTTAATTAGGACAGCGAGCCCGACGTGACGCTGGGCGATTTCGAGCTGCTCAAGGTGTGAACGAGCAGCGATTCCTTCGCCGCGTCGCATGCTCCGTTCATTCACACCTCAGACTTCCAGCTGCGGAAGGTTCACCACCCGGTCGCTCACCCCCACACACCCACAGCCAGCATGCGGATCAAGCGGGTGAGGCATACGGCACTGCGACGTCCCACTCTTGCCTCGAGCGACTGCCTCGCCGCCGCCTCCTGCCCAGCCTTCTTCTCCGCCGCTGCTTTTAGGTGATTGGGCGCGGGACGTACGGCAAGGTGATGCAGGTGCGGCGCACGCAGACAAGCGAGATCTTCGCGATGAAGGTCCGCTCGAGGGGGAGAGAGGGGGGGAGAGGGGGATGGGGGAGAGAGGGGGGAGAGATGGGGAGAGATGGGGGGGAGAGATGGGGAGAGAGGAGGAGAGATGGGGGAGAGAGGGGGAGAGAGGGGGAGAGATGGGATGGGGGAGAGATGGGGGAGAGAGGGGGGATTGCAGCGAGATCTTCGCGATGAAGGTCCGCTCGAGGAGGAGGCTGCAATCTCGGCTGTCTCTCGGCTGTCTCTCGGCTGTCTCTCGGCTGTCTCCCGGCTGCCTCTCGGCTGCCTCTCGGCTGCCTCTCGGCTGCCTCTCGGCTATCCTTCCTGCAGGTCCTCAAGAAGGAGGCTGTCTTTGCAATCTCCCCAGATCTCCCCAGATCTCCCCAGATCTCCCCAGATCTCCCCCACATCTCCCCCACATCTCCCCATATCTCCCCCATATCTCCCCCATATCTCCCCCTATCTCAGGTCCTCAAGAAGGAGGCTGTCTTTGCGCGCGGCGACCCGAAGGTTGGAGCTCTCTCCATATCTCCCCACATCTCGCCACATCTCGCCACATCTCCCCACACCTCCCCACATCTCCCCACATCTCCCCACATCTCCCCACATCTCCCCACACCTCCCCACATCTCCCCACATCTCCCCACATCTCCCCACATCTCCCCACATCTCCCCACATGAGCTCTCTCCCGCTCGACTCGAGCTCCCTCTCTCAATCAGTGGGAGCCCTCCCTCCCTCCCTCCCTCCCTCCCTCCCTCAGGGCGTGCAGCACACCATTGCCGACACATACACACACACACACACACACACACTCTCTCTCTCTCTCTCTCTCTCTCTCTCTCTCTCTCTCTCTCTCTCTCTCTCTCTCTCTCTCTCTCTCTCTCTCTCTCTCTCTCTCTCTCTCTCTCTCTCTCTTACACACATGCACATGCACATACACACATACACACCCTCCCTCCCTCCCTCCCTCCCTCCCTCAGGACCTGCAGCACACCATTGCCGAGCGGAACGTGCTCGCGCTGCTCAACTGCCGCGCGCACCCTTTTGTGCTCGGCCTTAAGTACGCCTTCCACACGCCGGCAAAGGTGTGGGCGTTTATGAGGACGCCTCGTGCGACACAACAACAACATGCACGCAGAGACATACAAGTAGGCACAACCATGCAAGCAACATAGCAACATGCCTCCCGATTTGACAACAAGGACACGACACCCTCGAGAGCGCACCTTCATTCCCCGCAAGTCGCTGCAGCCCTCGATTTCTTTTTATTTAGCTCTACTACGTCATGCACTTTTGCAACGGCGGCGACCTGTACTACCTGCTCAGCCGCTGCAGAAAGTTCCGCGAGTCGCAGGCGCGCAGATCTCCCCACATCTCCCCACATCTCCCCAGATCTCCCCACATCTCTCCATCTCCCCCCATCTCTCCCCAGATCGCCCCAGATCTCCCCACATCTCCCCGTATCCCCCCACCTCTCTCCACGTATCTCCGCAGGCGCTACGCGGGTGAGGTCTTGCTGCCGATCTCCCCACATCTCCCCACATCTCCCCATATCTCGGCGCAGGCACGCTTCTACGCCGGCGAGGTCTTCCTGGCGATCCAGCACTTGCACTCCCTCGGCATCATCTACCGCGACCTGAAGCCCCACAGATGATATCTCCCCCATATCTCCCTCATCTCTCCCTCATCTCTCGTCAGGCATCATCTACCGCGACCTGAAGCCCGAGAACGTGCTGCTCGACAGCGACGGGCACGTCACGCTGAGATCTCCCCCCTATCTCCCCACATCTCCCCACATCTCCCTCATCTCTCGTCAGGCATGTCAAGCTGACCGACTTCGTTAATTAAGAGTTAATTAAGAGTTAATTAAGAGTTAATCAATAGGCACGTCAAGCTGACCGACTTCGGGCTGTCGAAGGAGAGTGGCTCCCTCGGCTGCACCTCGGCTGCACCTCGCCTGCACCTCGGCTGCACCTCGGCCGCACCTCGGCCGCACCTCGGCCGCACCTCGGCCGCACCTCGGCCGCACCTCGGCTGCACCTCGGCTGCACCTCGGCTGCACCTCGGCTGCACCTCGGCTGCACTTCGGCTGCACCTCGGCTGCACCTCGGCTGCACCTCGGCTGCATCTCGACTCCGCAGGAGAGCGACACGGCCGACACGTTTTGCGGCGCGCCCCGCCTACCATTGTGGCGCGCAGAGGCGCCTTCCGGGAGCCTTCTCGGACACTTCGGGGACATGTCCTGTAGGGACGCCCGTCTACCTTGCCCCCGAGATCTGGATGCGGAAGACGTATGGCCAGGAGGTGTGGGGAGATCTGGGGAGATCTGGGGGAGATCTGGGGGAGATCTGGATGCGGAAGACGTATGGCCAGGAGGTGTGGGGAGATCTGGGGAGATCTGGGGGAGATCTGGGGGAGATCTGGATGCGGAAGACGTATGGCCAGGAGGCGGAGGCATAGCCGAGAGGCAGCCGAGATCTGGTTGGCTGCTCGGCTGGCGGGGTGTCGTGACGAGATGCGATCTCGGCTCATCTCGGCTCATCTCGGCTCATCACGGCCCGTCTCGGCTGATCAGGTCGACTGGTGGTCGCTTGGCTGCGTGCTCTACGAGATGGTGTGCGGCCTGCCTCCCTTTTGGGGCGACACGATCAAGGACGTCTACAAGAAGGTCCTCCACACGCAGCCAAAGTACGCCGGCATGAGCAGCGCGTGCCAGGCAGTGGTGACGGGTGCGCGGACCTAGAGATGCGGAAGATGGGACCAATCTCTCCCCGTCTCTCCCCCATCTCTCCCCATCTCTCCCTATCTCCCGTATCTCCCCCACATCTCCCCCACATCTCCCCCATATCTCCCCCATATCTCCCCCATCCTAGTGCTCTCGCGGCTCCGGTGTGCCCGGCGACGCAGGCATGCTCACGCGAAACCCGGAGGAGCGGATGGGGCGGGCGGACAACGGCAAGGAGATCATGGCGCACGAGTTCTTCGCCGGCCAGGAGTGGGAGGACCTCCTCTCAAAGGTGCGGGGTTAGCCGAGATCAGCCGAGCTTAGCCGCGAGGTTCGCCAGCCAGGAGTGGGAGGACCTCCTCTCACCCGCCCCGCCCTCCCAATCTCTCGGGCTATCTCGGCCCCTCTCGGCCCCTCTCGGCCCCTCTCGGTTCATCTCGGCTCATCTCCTCCTCTCGCCCGCCGCCCCACAGGCCATCAAGCCGCCCTTCAAGTCCAAGACGGCCAACGAGGAGGGCACGCACAGCGCGCACGCCCTCCTTTGAGTGCGGCGGGGCTCACCGGAGCCGTCTGGTTGCGCGTAGGAGGACACGCACAACTTCCACAAGGCCTTCACGAGCCAACAGCCGGTCGACTCGCTGGTCAGCGCGTCGCACCTGAACGCCGCCCAGCAGGCCAACTTCGAGGGCTTTACGTACGTCCCCAGCACCAGCGACGCCAACGCCATCGCCGAGGAGGCGGCAAAGCTGCAGCTCGGGGGCAGAGACTTGGTCGCCCCGCCCGGCTGAAGCGGCGGGGCGTGGGGGGGTCGAGGGCCGGACGCAGGCCGCCTCAAGTGTTGCGGTGCGGCGGCGGCGCCCTCCTCCGTGCCGTGCGCCCGTGCGTCGCGTCGTCCGCTCTGGGTTCACTGTTAGTGTGCTTGCCCTGGAGAGCTGGACAGAGGTCGGAGAGCCGCGGGAGGCGGAGCACGGAGCACAGAAGGAAGGTGGGAAGTGAGGCACACACGAAGCTTGTTCTTGTCCATTTCAGTAAACGAACTTGATGATATCGAGGATACCCGTATGAGACGAGACTCGAGTATAACGACTCGAGAGCGTGCGGGAGGGGTACACATCTAAAGAGACTAGACGTTTAGACGACCGGACGCGGCTCGCTGGACGCGCACCATCCACAACCACATCATCACAGTGGCTCGCGGCAATGCGGGGCGGCACTCTTGCATCAGCTCGGAGCATGGCCCGCAAGCGCACAAGTGCCCGCACGGGACCGCAGCATGCGACTTGACTCTCGCGAAACACACGATGCACGTGGTCTCGCCCCCCATCGTGGACTCGGGGGCAGCCGGCCGCCCCGTGTCGAGGCCGGCGTCCGCTAGTGAGACAGCTGCAACAACCTCGGTGACCGGCAGATGCTGCTCCGCCGCCCCTCCCCTCACTGGTGACTCGCCTCCTCCGTGGCGGCCCTCAACGCGGTCAACTGAGTCATCGCTCGCTTCCGCAGCGCCTCTTGCCTTCTGGCCTCCATGGCCGCGCGCACCTCTCGCGCGATGGTGGGCTGGAAGCACGGAATGGTCGTCGTCCCCAGCGCACTCTCAGTGGCGCTACTAGCGGCAGCAGCCTCCTGGTCACCGCTACTGCTGCCGGTGCTGCCGGTGGCGGTGGCGGTGGCGGTGCTGGTGCCGGTCACCGCTGCCGCCGATGCCGATGCCGATTCTGCGACAACCGACGGAGCCCCCAGCGCGCTGCGGCCGCACCTTTCCGCGCTCTCCTCCCTCGCTCGCTTGCGCGCTTGGTCGGGCTGGGCGCACTGAGACGGCTGCCTCTGGAGCTCACACGCACTCCAAACGACGGCGCCGTCGCTCGCGCGCTCTGCCGCGCGCTCAAAGCCATCTGTTCGGCTGCTGATTGCGAAATTGGCTAGCCCGTCCGGCGCGCTGTTTGCATCCCGCTTCTGCCACTGGAAATGGATTTGACACCCGTGCTTGCTGGTGAGGCGCGTGCAAATCTCCCAGGCAGCGTCGTGGTACTGCTGCAGCTTGCCTGCCGGCTCCGTTGGCTGCCGGACTCCCACCCATGACGACCGTGCTTTCATGTGATCGATGCACGTTTTGCTGTCGCCGCGCACCTCGAGGACAACCGCGGGCGCCGCCTCGCCATCGCTGCTACTGCTGCCGCCGCTACCATTACCGCAAATGGAGGACCGCTTGAGCTCGCTCTCCAGATACCACAAGCCGCAGCTCAGACCCTCGTACTCGGTTGCATTGTTGTTGATTGGTGTGGTAGCTAGGTAGCACCACGCGCGCCAAACTGGCACTAATATTGCGTCGCTGGCGTAGCATTGATATAGCACAGCGCCGCAGCCGCTGCCATTCGGCGCCGAGCCTCCATCAAACTCGAGAACAAGTCGCATTCGTGATTTTTACGATTCAAGTCTTTCGCAAAGAGAGGGTGCTGTAGAGAAAAAAGGAAAGGAAAACAGACGGGGTGCGAGAGGAAAAGTATATACAGCCTAGTGCGTCGGGGCAAAGGCTACTACTGTGTACTGACAGAATGATGAACGCGCTTTTTACGAGGCAGCTGGTCCACCCTTCTCTTTCTGTTTTCTTTCTTCTTTGGTGTACCTGTGTTAGTGCCAGTGCGCGCCAGTCCCGTGCCCAGTGTTGTGCGAGGGAGGGTTGTAAAATTCTTTCCGGACGGACGCCCCCGGTATGTACCCGGTGCGAGGACGAGTAACTCGATCTTTCGCCTCTGAATATGAGGCGGCTGCGTCCCGGCGACAACCCCGTTCGATACTGCGACGACATTGGGGACGCGTCTTGCTGTGTGCAACGGACATTTGACGGAAACCTACAGAATGTCTTTGGGCTGACGAACTGTTCGGCCGCTGGCCTCGTGGACATCGGCGTAGCCATCTGCCCCGATGACAAGACTTGCGACGATCCCGTCCCAATATGCGGGAAGCCCGAATGCAAGAACTACCAGAGCTGCGCACCGAGCGTCCTCTGGCGCGCCGGGAATTTCACGACGCACGTGAAGGACCTCTCCTCCTCGGCCATCCGCCAGGACAGCAGCAGCAGCTGCACCTTTGTGCAGTACGAGATGGCCCTGCTGGCGCCGTCCCCGCCAGCCAACCCCGTGCCGGGCTAGCGCGATGTCAGCGCGATGTGCGTTTGTGATGTGTGCACAACCCCGGGCCCGAAATCGCACAGAGACAGTCACGCAACACGAAGGGGTCCCTTCGTCGTTCGTTCACTCTCTCGAGTGACTGTATTTTTCGTTCACTCTCTCGAGTGACTGTATTTTTGTGTGCTATGTTTTTGTGTGTACTTTAGCTTGCTATGTATGTGGTGTGTACATATGCGCTTTCGGAGTTTCTTATTTTTCGGGTGGGCGGAAAATTCTTTTGTTGCCGGCCCAGTCTCTTGCCGCGGCAGCTGCGCGAGTCACATGCCGCTCCCGTCCAAACGCCCTCGCCTCCCGCCCGGCGGGGGCGCCCTCGACTCGATCCTCACCGGCGTGACTTCGCTGCACTCGTCGCTCGGCGATCCTGCCGCGCGCAGCCGTCGCGCAGCCGCTGCGGCGGCGGACCTCGATGTCGCGGCGCTGCAGGGCTTCCTGCGGCCCGAGGCGCGTCCGCACCCGGGTTCGATGGGGCCGCCGCCGCCGCCGGGCACCGTCGAGCCGTGCCGCAACCCGCAGTGCCCCGGCCGCGGCCTCAAACCCTCGTTTGAGGAGGACCGGCGCAAGGGCGACCGGATCTGCCTGCACTGCGGGGCGACGTCGCGCTGTCGGCCCGAGGAGGAGGAGCACCGCTCCTTCGCGGACGACGACGGGAAGAGCGAGAAGCGGAAGCGCGCGGAGGTTCTCGCGCCCGGCCGCGCCGGCGCCCGCGTCGGCGACAAGAACCTGGCGCAGGCCGTGGCGCTCGCAAACTCGGGCGCAGAGTCGGAGCACTCCGACCTCGGCAAGGTGGAGCAGAAGCGGCTGAAGGGGTACAACGACAAGATTGCCTCCCTCCTCTCGCACCAGTTCTCGCAGGCGCGCACGCCCCCCCTACCCCCCCGCCGTTCGCCGTTCGCCTCCGCCGCCTCCGCCTCCGCCGCCGCCTCCGCCGCCGCCGCCGCCGCCGCCTCTGCCGCCGCGGCTGCCTCCGCCTCTGCCGTGTCCGCCCGCCTCGCCGCCTCCACCGCCGCCTCCTCCGCCGCCTCCTCCGCCGCCTCCTCCGCCGCCTCCTCCGCCTCCTCCTCCGCCGCCTCCTCCGCCGCCTCCTCCGCCGCGCCGTCCACTCTTCCCCGCCCGCACCACCGCCACGGCCGCCACACCCCCCCAGGCCCTCTTCGCCGCCGACCAACCGCCGCCCGCCGCCTCCCCCGCTGCTCCACGCCCCCCTCCCACCGCCTCCCCCTCCCCCGCTGCTCCACGCCCCCCTCCCACCGCCTCCCCCTCCCCCGCTGCTCCACGCCCCCCGCCCACCGCCTCCCCCTCCCCCGCTGCTCCACGCCCCCCTCCCACCGCCTCCCCCTCCCCCGCTGCTCCACGCCCCCCGCCCGCAGGCGCACACGGGCATGTCTCAGGAGGTACAGGAGGCGGCGCACAGCCTGGCGGACAAGCTGGCGCGGTCGCAGCGCCGAGCTGCGGGTCTGTTTCTCTTTGCGCGACATGTGCTCTTTTCTCTATAGGTGCGGTCGCAGGCCGAGCACGACACGCACTGCGAGAAGGCCCCGCCCGCCGGCCAGACACTTCCGAGACACTTCCCTGCCCCGCGGATCCGACCCGTCCCGTCCCCTCTGCCTTCTGGCCTGGCCACTCTTCTTTTGTGCTTTGCCGCGAAGGTGCAGCTGAGTGAGCAGCTGAAGAAGGCGGGAGACGCGGACGGCGCGCAGAGGTGCGTGTGCCGGCGGTCGCAGACGCGTCTAGGAAGCGTCTAGGAAGCGTCTAGGAAGTGTCGAGGAAGTGTCGAGGAAGTGTCTAGGTGCAAGTGCCGGCTGTCGCAGAAGCCGAAGAACCACGCCGTCGTCGCGGCGGTGCTGCTCATGCATGCCGAGCGGGAGCACGGTACCCGAACCCACCCTCCCCTACCCCCACGGTACCCGAACCCACCCTCCCCTACCCCCACGGTACCCGAACCCACCCTCCCCTACCCCACCGTACCCGAACCCACCCTCCCCCCTACCCACCCTAACCCACCCTCCCCTACCCCACGGTACCCGAATCCAGGGACGACGCACCAGTTCCAGGAGGTGGCGACACTGCTGCAGGCGAGAGACACTTCCTAGACACTTCCTAGACACTTCCTAGACACTTCCTAGACACGATCACCGCGCTGCAGGCCGATCTCTGTCTGCGATTCAAGCTTAGTGCGACACGGTCACACGCCACGCAGAACCTTCTCCGCTCGCTCGCTCGCTCGCTCTCTCGCTCTCTCTCTCTCTCTCTCTCTCTCTCTCTCTCTCTCTCTCTCTCTCTCTCTCTCTCTCTCTCTCTCTCTCTCTCTCTCGCTCGCTCTCTTTCTCACACCCTCTCTCTCCCTCCCTCTCTCTCTCTCTCTCTCTCTCTCTCTCGCTCTCTTTCTCACACCCTCTCTCTCCCTCCCTCTCTCTCTCTCTCTCGCTCTCTCTCTCGCTCTCTATCTCACACCCTCGCTCGCTCTCGCTCGCTCTCTCCCCCTCCCCCACCCCCACCCTCCCTCCCCCTCCCTGCAGGGGGACGCGCAGAGCCGCGACGTCTCCATGGCGGACGTCGGCAAGATCGAGAAGCTGGTCAAGCAGCGCCTCATGGTTTCTGTGTGCGAGGCGTGTTTTCGTGCTTCGATAGGCAAGATCGAGAAGCTGGTCAAGGAGCTCCTCTCCCTCGGCGCGATCAGGCGCGAGGTGGACGGAGGCTTCGGCAAGTACCCGTGCGCCGCCGAGCCGGGCTTCAAGCTCAGGGACGGCGAGACTGCGGCGCGAGAGCCTAGAAGCGGAAGATCTCCCCCTATCTCCCCCCCGCATCTCCCCGTATCTGGCAGCACGGAGCCAGAAGCGGACTCCGGAGTCTTGGGAGTCCCAGCCAGCGCTCGAGAGGACACGCACTCCGCTGTACTCCCCCGTGTTCCGCCGTATTCCGCTGCACTCACCGTACTCCTGTCGCTCGTCTTCACACCGTGCTCTGAATGCACACGCCACACCTAGAAAACAGAAAACACAGGCGCACAAGGAAAAACACGGCCCAGCTCTGAATGCACTGCCACACCGCCGTCTCCCCGCCCCGAGGTCGGCGTATTCAGCACGTAGGCCGGAGACGCGAGGGGCAGCACCATGACGCAGCACAAGTCGCTCCTCCCAAACCTGTGCGGCCGGCTCCAGCTGCACTACATGATCCAGCGGCGCGCCACTTCCTAGACACTTCCTAGACACTTCCTAGACACTACATGACTCCAGCTGCACTACATGATCCAGCGGCGCGCCGAGAGATGGGGAGAGATGGGGAGAGATGGGGAGAGATGGGGAGAGATGGGGAGATGCGGGCTCCAGCTGCACTACATGATCCAGCGGCGCGCCAGCGCCACCTCCTCGGGGGGGGGCGGGAGAGGCTCCTCTTCCCCGTGACCCGCCTCGTTGCCCCCCTCCCCGTAGGCGCGCCTCCCAGATCCTCGACGGCTGGGGCTCGGAGGGCATACGCACGCTGCGGCCGCAGACCGTCGCCGCGGCGGCGGTCCACTTCGCGTACGAGGAGAAGAAGGGTGTCCTCTTCTCCTCCGAGGCGGGGCAGGCCCCTCCCTCGCTCGACCTCGGGCGGCTGGCCAAGCAGGCGGGCGTCGAGAAGGGGACCATTTTGCGCGCGATGACAGAGCTGCCCGTGCCGCCGCCAGAGGAGCAGCAGCAGGCGGGGCCGAGCCGGGTGCTCGAATAAGGGGTAGCCTAAGCGCGTGGCGCGCGTTGCGTGAGTGGTGGTGGTGGGTGATGCTGATGATGCGTTTTTCAACCTTGACACAGGGGGCGGAGTTGCGCTTTCTACCGCAAGTTTTCACACTCTCGCTTGAGGCTTGTGTGCGGTGTGACCCCGGTATGTCTCGAGGCTGGGTGTGCCTGTGCGGTGTGCCGCCGGGCGCCGTCCGGCTGTTGCACGAGTATATGGGCCAAAAGCGTCGAAGCTCGCGCGCGTTCGGAGCACTCCCTGGGTCCCAGAGAGTGCTCCGAACCGACCAGACCGCGCTCGCTGTGGGGCTGCCACAAAGTCGCCGCCGAGGCCCGAGAGCGTGCCACCGAAGGCGTCCCGGCGGAGGTGATTGAGTGTGAGACCTTGCGACGGTGGATCATTGAGAACGGGCCCGAAATCGCACAGAGTCACTCAACACGGGGTCCCAGGGAAGATTCACACACTAGAAGCGGCTGCGCGGGCCCCGCCCCCAGCTCGGGGGGGGGGGCGGGGCCCTTGCGAAGGAGAAGAGGCCAGAGTTGTACAGCAGCGGACGATGGACGGACTCGGGCCCGGTGCTTCGACGCAGCACAGACAGTGTGCTTCGTGGTAGCATGAACTCAGAACGGCCCCCCGAGAGCGCCTCTTCGACGCCCACGGGTCCCGGGGGGTCAGAGGGGTTGCGAGAGGGCCCCGGCTATTTTTTGTTTGAATCCCGGAGGCCGTTAGAACATGACGTTCCACGTGCCCGTCCACACAGCCACGGACAACATGCTAGCCCATGTCGAGAGAGCTGCCCCCAGGCGACCTTCCGTCCGGCCGGCCTCTTTTTCAGCTGCTCTTTTTGTTCATGGCCGGCCGGCCTCGGACAGAATTAAACCTGGCACTGGCACTAACATAGGGTGAGAGCCGTAGACTGCATGCAGGATGCAGATTCTCGCGGGCTCTTTGGGCCGCAGCTTGTGAGGGAGGGGGGAGGGGACACAAACGCCCTACAAAGTCCCACATGATACAGCAAAGTACGACCCGACGTACAACGTAGCTCCTCTCTCTCCCTAAACGTATAGTGCACACATGCTGGGTCGCGAAAGTACTGTGTGGGAGGTGCCAGACAGACAAGCAGACAAGCAGCAGACAGCGCTGTGTGCCTGCTTGCTCTCGCTTCAGGGCGAGCGTCATGAATAGTCAACAGAGCTCCAGCCCGGAGGGTACCGATGAGGAATGGGCGGGGCCTTCGAGTACAGCATCTTCTCGGCGAGCATCATGAGTAGTCAACAAAGCTCAAGCCCGGGGAGGTAATCAACTGGGGCCCTTCGAGACTCCCTTTGAGCAGCGCTTGAGATCAGGCCAGACTGGTCGTCGAATACCGCCCCAGCTGCGCCATTAGCGTGTCCACCTGCTGCGCCAGCGTGCCGGTGCCCGTGATGCCCATGGCCTCATTGCACGCCGCCACGGTCGTGGCAAGGGGCGACGAACCGTCAACCTTGAGCTGCTCGGCGATGATGTCCACCTTTTGTGCCATCGTGAGTGTTTTTGCATCCGCGTTGCTGATGGGCACACCTTGCGCCACCCTGGCAACCACCGAGTTCGGTGGCTGATCAGCGCGCTTCTTCTTGTAGCAAACGTAGCCAACGCCGAGGAGGCCCGCAATGACGGCCACCCCTACCACGGCCGCTGCAATAGCGACCACAGGAGAGCCGCCGCTTTGAGTAGACGAGCTCTCCTTCTCGACCTCGACCGCAACGGTAGTGTCGACGGATGCCCCCACCACAGCAAGGATAGGTCCCATCTGAGCATCGAAGGCATCCAGGCCATTAGCCCCCGAGTACTGTTCGAGGCTGCTCTGGGCCGAGCTGGCTTCCGACTCCGTGACCACCGGGAACTTGGCAACGATGATGACGCTTCCGGCGGTGATATCGAGGGTCGAACCGAGAGGCACGAAACTGAAGCCGGCCAACTGGGCAAGCTTCTCCAGGATGGTCCCCCTGGTGGCGTCGTCAAAGTCGCTCACGTCGCCGCTCGCGGTGAAGGAGGCGACGACCTGGAACGAGCTCGGCTCCCCTGACGATGGCGAGGGCGACGCCGAAGGTGGCGGCGATGGCGAAGCCGAAGGTGGTGGCGATGGCGAAGCCGACGGCGGTGGCGACGGTGGCGACGGCGGCATCGGCGGCGACGATGGGGAAGGCGGCGAGGGAGGAGGGGCAATTGGCGGTGTTGGTGGTGACGGCGACGGCGGTGGCGACGGCGGTGGTGGTGATGGCGACGGCGGGGACGGCGGCGACGGCGACGGCGACGGCGGTGGTGACGAAGGGGGTGGCGATGGCGACGGCGGGGATGGCGGTGGCGGCCGTGGGGGTGGAGACGGCGGCGGCGGGGACGGTGGTAGCGATGGAGGGGGTGGTGATGGCGACGGCAAACGTGGGGGAGGTGGTGATGGGGGCGTGGAAGGCGGCATTGCCTCGCATTGTCCATTCGCATACATGCTCCACGATGTTGCCATGCCACCCAGTGCCTCATCTTCATTCACCGTGTTTTTGCCTCGGTACTCTAATTTGAACGATAGCTGCACCTCCGAGATCTTTGCAAAGTCTGCTGCCGTCCACTGTCTTGTAGTCTGAACTCGCCACGTGCCGTACGGCGAGTAAAAGATGTACTTGTCGTCTCTGAGCTCGTCACGGTCTTCGACCTCGCACGGCACCTTATTAGGAGAACCGATTGCCCATCGCATCGCTCCAAACGATTTGGGTTCGTGTGTAAACGTGACCTCGTCGCCGGCGCTGTTCGTGAAGATGGACTCCGGCCCCTTGGTAAGCTCCGCGCTCACGAAGCCATCCGGCGAGTCGGTGGGGAACGGTAGCAGGTACACCCGCAAATCTTCAATCTTTGAGCCCCAGAAGAAGCCAGGTGGCGCTGGTGGCGGCTTGGGTACCACGAAAGTAGCCGACCCGGTGTTGTGCAGGGACGCAAACTCGGTTGGGTGAGAGGCCGCAGTGAAGGTGAAAGTTCGCGACGTCGAATGCTTTGGCACCGTGACGTCATCGAGCAGCGTAGAGATCTGGTCGCCTTTTAATTTCTGAAGGGCTTTGCTTACATCTAACGCGTCCGAATTGAGACCGAGGGACATGAAATCGCATGCAGCTTCGTCCCCGCCGGGCTGGCTGCAGAACTGAGGCTCGAGGCGGTAGTACCGAATTTGCGTGAGCAGCCGTTGCGCATTCACCATAAACTGCACCATGGCACGCTGCCTCTGTGCCTCGAGAGTCGCCACTGCAAGCTGGGCATATGCCTTGCCGTTGTCTGCGCTCCCGTCGCAGGAGTCATCGTCAAGACACGGTGTCTCGCCAATGATCACCCGAGCCTTGTTGAGCTGGTCTCTGTCAACCAGCTGGTTCACCCGGTCGCTCGCTAGCTTCATCGTTCCGTCGGCAACGATGCGTGCGCCTGCCCATTGACTGTCGGTGATGTCAGGCAAGCGATTGCCTAACGCCGCCTGCAGCTCCTGCAAGCGAGCGGAACTGGGCACGTCTGGCACGGCTTCGCCCACAGATGCCTCGCCGTTATCCTTGATGTCACTTTCCGTCGTATTCAGCAAGAGGGTCCAGTCGCTCAGACTCTCCAAGTCCATGAGGGCGCGCTGAAGACCTGTGGAACCAGGCTCGTTCAGGCGCCGCCCAAAGAAACCCCCGATCCAGTTGAGCACCTTGCCGGCAGCCGCGGTCACCGTCTCAACCACCTTCTTCGCAACCTTGACGACCGCTTTCGCTCCGATCATGACTTCTTCCCACATGTCTGCGAGCAGTCCAAGGCATGTCTGCGAGGGGCGCACAGACATTGTGAGTACAGTGTGTGAGTACATGCCTATATAGTGCGTCTATTGGTCACCGAGATCGAATCCCCCTGCACGCGAGTCAGCGCCGCGGGTCCCGGATTGCCTCCACCACCCACAGCCTGGTTGTTGATTGGCCTCGTTCTTGGCGCATTGAGAAAGCTGTCGGGGTCGGCGTCACACCACTCAAGTTCGCTCGTGCTGCTGCCAAATTCATAGAGTGTCGACCACTCGGCCAGCACAAAGTTGGGGTCGCCCAAGAATTTCGGCATGAACTCCTGAAGTGACTTTTGCAGCCTCTCGCAGCCAGCCTCCAGATCTGTACACGGATCGTTCTCGCTACCTGTGATTGCGCGCCACGCACACGCAACCTCGGGCCTTTCGAGTATCACGCTCAACTTGTCGCATACGAGGCCGACGGCGATCGAACACGCCTCGCCGGCGAGCTTAGCAGGGTTGAGCAGATTGGGAAGGGAGAGCCCACCGCCAACAACCAATCCGAGATCGGCGGTCAGAGCTCCGCTGATGCATGCTGAGTCCTCGTCTCTGGAGATCGCCGCTTCGGCGAGCAGCCGAGCTCTGAGCATGGCCTCAAGCTCGAGCTTCACGCCGAGAATCTCGAATGTGAGCACCGGGCCCAACTTGACAGTCACGTTCGCGGCAACCCCACCTTCCAGCTCGAGCTTCTTGGTCACCTCAGGCTCGCCGTCTGCCCAAACAAGATCGATTGTGGTCCCCTCGGTCGACGAGTGCTGGACGAAAGCTTCTTCGATGCCAAAGAACTGGTCGAAGCTGAACTCCGCGTTGAACGCCTGAGACGTTTCGACGTCGATTGCAATCGTTGCCGTCGCCTGAAGCTTCACGAGTACTGGGATGGGCATTGGTCCCGCCATGAGCACCTTTTGCAGTAAGATGTACGGATCGCAGGCCCCCTCCTTCCCC